GTGTGTGTATGTGTGTGTGTGTGTGTGTGTGTGTGTGTGTGTGTGTGTGTGTGTGTGTGTGTGATTTCTGGGACTTAAACTCAGAGACTATGTACTGTCTCGAGTTTCTTTTGCTGAAGGCTAACACTAAGTCTACTGCTCTACCACTTGAGCCACAGAGCCACTTCTGGCCTTTTCTGAGTAGTTTATTGGGAGATAAGAGTCTCATGGACCTTAAGATTCTCAAATCTCAGCCTCCTAAGTAGCTAGGATTACATTATATATATTTTTACATATATATATATTAATTTAGCTTTAAATAGCTGTACAAAGGAGTTGACAGTCAACAAAGCATTTTAATACAGTGCATATAGATTACTGCCACCCCCTTTCAAAATTCTCTCCCATCCCTCCCAACCTATCCCTTTCCTCACTTTTCTTAATTTTGTAGGCTATGTACTGATTTTTTGCAATGTAACAAAGAAGTTCATGAATACACTGTATTTTACTGTTTCAGCACCTTCAACATTTTTACCTCCCTTCCACTTACTCCTTTATTTTTCTTAATTTTGTAGTATAGACCATTTCACTTGCAAAATAAGAGTTCTAATAAAAAGTAACAAGCTGAGGGCCTGGCTGGCAGGATAGTATCCATGGACATGATATCACCCTGTTGGCACTTAGCATGCCGTGAGCTCTCTGAGATACCCACCGCCATAGTACAGCGCTCCAAATCCTGTGATGTAGACTGTAGAATTCGGTCGGAGGGACGCAGAGGCTTCCGGCAAGCAAACGTGGCGGACGTCATCTGTAAAGGTGACCCTGGGAGAGATCTGTACAACTGCAATGTCGTACTCTCTTGCTGGGGAGCGATACCTCTCGTGGACGATGATTCTTCTGACTTCTCTTTTCATCAGAGGAGGATTTATTGTCGTTCCGAAACTGACAGTCCATTGTCGAGGGTTAGCATTGCTGGTAAGGTTAGAAAATCACAGAAAATATGAACACCATAGAATATACGAGCTACATTAATTGCATTTAGGCTAAGAAAAGAAAAAAAATACCTCACTCTGACAATATTTGGTTACAATGATAATTTTCTTTGCCCATTTAAATATAGTCTACTGTTAGTAGATAGAAGAATAACTTATTTCCCCCCCCCCTTTTTTTTTTACATTTAAGGAATTTATTTTTCCCAGCTGCCATTTCTTTTTTCTTTTGCAGTCTGTTGTTGGGATAGTTCTTTGTTCTGGATTTCCAGTTCTCAGTATATTTCTATAAAGCCCACCCATGACTGCCTCGGAGAAGGCTCTGTCAGTGTCTTATCACTCGAAGTGTCTGGCAAAGGGCTTGCTGTTCCGTTGTGGGTCTTCAGTCACTGCCCATTGGCGAATTAAGTATGTGGTAGGAAGATTTAACTTTTTGTACTTTCTTGAAACTTTGAGTCTTAATTTATTCTTTTTTGTATGTTTTTATTGTCAAAATGCTATACAGAGGGGTTATAGTTACATGAGCAAGGTAATGGGTACATTTCCTATTGAGCATTATTGCATCCTCCTTTGTTTTTCCCCTATCATCCCTTTCCTCCCCACCTCAACAACTACCCCCTCCACGAATTATTTTCAAGAGGTGAAATTCATATTGAATTTGCAATTTTAGTGCCATGAGGCACATGCAATAGTACTCATTTATCCCTTCAGCTAGTATTTATTGAATATCTGTATATTGAATATTATCAAAATACTGGGGCTGGAGAAGAGAATAAGACATAGCTTTCTACTTCACAAGATTATTAGACTTGGGGAAGAAAAAGGGTCAAAACAAAATTTCAAAAGTAGATGATCTGAACGGTAGAGGCAAAACAAATTAGGATTATGCATAGAATATTAGGGGCTAGTTAGGGAATGCTCTTTTTTCTCAAACATAGTTAGGTTAAAACATGGTTAAGGAAGAGGAGTGAGCTCTAAGAAGATGGGGAGACACGTTTCCAGGTAAACATCCTCAAGGCTGTAGGCCAGACGGGATTAAATTTAGGAGGTAAGGGGAAGAATAACTGGGATGATTGAATTGGAGAGGTAAGAAGGAACCAGCATGTCTTATAGGATGTGATAAAGTGCCTAGAATTGACTCAAATGACACTTGCTTTTCAGTCAGTAATTCTTTGGTGATTAGCTTTAGCTGAAGTATATAAAGATAATGATAGAGATAAGTCTAATCTTGCAACTATATAAATTGTGCTGGGATTATTGTGTTTGCTTTCATATAACATTTTTATATAAAAATACTGTAAAGGGCTGGGAAGTTGGCTCAGTGGTAGAGCGCTTGCCTTGCATGCCTGAGGCCCTGGGTTCAATTCTTCAGCACCACATAAGCAAAAAGAAAAAAGCTGGAAGTGGCGCTGTGGCTCAAGTAGTAGAGTGCTAGCCTTGAGCTGAAGAGCTGAGGGACAGCGCTCAGGCCCAGAGTTCAGGCCCCACGACCAGACCCCCCCAAAAAATACTGTAAAGAAGCTTACCAAAGACTGGTTTATAAAAATAACTTATATATTATAGATATATTGACATTTTGGTTTGTAAGCTAAAACTTAAGTATGCCTAGATAAATTTAGTATATACCTGTTTTGGACTTAGAAATAAAAAAGTTAGATGTTGAATTGCATTTACTCACATGGGAATGAACACACTGAAATTCTCTAACAATGAACCAATATATTTAGTTCAGCTTTTATTTTATTATATTCATAGATTATAAACCTTAAAAGCATGCATAACTTTAGAGATGCTAGGTAAGGTTTAGGCTTCTAAACTTTTAACCAGGGCCCAAATCATTAAGGTAAAAATTAATGATGATAAGCATAGATTCGTAGGAACTTGTTTTAATTCTAAAGTAAACTGTAAAAATTCAAAATGGTAACATTTGTTCTAGAAAGATATCCCTAAGAAAAGGGCATTTGGAAATATCGTTGATTATTATTTTCCAAATAACAAATTGAAATCCATTTGTACTTAAGGAAAATAAATTATATATATCATATGTATGATATATGTTATGTGTGTCATATGTATCAAATGTCTGGCATGTGGTATATGCATGATCATATATACATGTGATATATGTGTATTATGTATAATGCATAATATATAAGATGAATTGTGTCTGATCTATGTCATACAATGATATATATATATATACTTTATATATCAAGTATTGTATACAATATATTTTATGTATATGTTTCATGTATGATATCTCATACGTATGATAAAAAAAATTGACCAGTCCTCTCGCTGATTCCCCATCTGTGAAAGATGAGTTTTGGCATCAGGAAAATATGCTTTGAATTTCACCATCTCCAAACATTGACTGAAGGCAAGCACCTTATCACCCTCCGTGAAAAACAGCTTACCAAACAGGACTTAGTTCAATGGCTATGAGGATTTTATATAAAAGAAAAATGTAAATATCTAATCAAATGTCTGTAGCATAGTAATAGCTTAATAACTGGTGCTGGTTGTCATTACAAAAGCACTGTCATGCCTGAGCTCTTCTGCATGGTGTCTTAGAATCCTGTTTCTGAAACTTGGAATTCCTTTCACCTTTGGACAGCTCTGCCTGGTGGCAAATATGTTTTTAACTCTAATTCTCTTGCACATAACAGAATTTCAGATCTATTAATGCAGCGATCATCTGTACTATAGAGGTTACCCAGAAAAATATTTTTATCTCTCAAGACATTTTTCAGGTTTTAATATGCACACAGATAATTAAGGGATCTTATTAAAATGTGGCTTCTGATTCCATGAGTCTTGGCTAAGATTTACTATTTTTTTTATTTCTTTCAAATTCCATAGTGCTAAGTGGGCCACACTTTGAGTGGAAAGGCTGTATAGATATACATTCCCTCTTTCTTCCTTTGTGTTTTTTTTTTTTTTGTCAGAAATTGAGCTCAAGGAGTTACTCTTCCTAGGTAGGTACTCTACCACTTGTGCCACGTATCTAGCCCCTTTCTACATTTGTTATTTTCAAGATAGGGTCTCCCTTTATAGCTGGGCCAGCCTAGATTGTTATATTCCTACTTGCACTCCCCTGTGTCTATGACATAAGGGGTGTACACCACTGCACCCCGTCATTGGTCAAAATGGAGTCTTTCAAACTTCTTTTTGCCTGGACTGACCTCAGACTATGATTATCTGATGTCCAGCTCCCAAGTAGGTGGGATTGAGCTATTATTCCTGGCTGAGAATCGTTTTCCCCAAAACTCTAAGATCACTTTATTTTTCCCAGACATCTTGAAGTGTATTGTGCACCACAGATTTAATACTCCAGACATGGTTTAATCAGCAGCTTGAACGCTCATATACATACTCTGGGCTCTGATTTTTAAGAATGCAACATAAATCAGAATAGAATTCTGCAGACAACTGATTCTAAGTAAGCTAGCTCCTGACAAATATTTCTACATCATTTTCACATGTCAAAGTACATTTCTGCTTTTTGTTTTTTTGTAAAAATAGACCAGTACTAAATGTAGAACATTGTTTGACATGGGACTGATTTCATAAGTTCTTTGTAAATGTTTTGTGTTAGGAGTATTTCTGCTTTCTTATAGTTTCTTGAGTAATTGAAGACTTGATTAATGAATACTAGAATAACGATTCATACTCCCTTTCTTCCCGACAAATTTTCCAAATAAAGATGTGAAGAGACTATAATTTTAGAAAAGAATCTGAGAGCTTTCCTTGTTTTACTTCAGCAACATTTGGAACAGATTAATCCTTCCAAATATGATAAAACTCAAGCCTTTTTACTTTCAGTATTGGGATCTGACTTGAAATGAGTAACTTACCTTTTAAAGCAATGAGCCGCAGTGACAAGCCACATATTACTAATCAAGGTGGCTCCACACTGATGGATATTACCACGTTGGAGGGAGGCTTGCCAAGGCCAGGCCCCTTTAGCTGCAAGTTCCCCAGACATTATTCTGTTGACTATTAATGGAGCAACTCGTTTACCACAGCCTGTAAGAAATGAGATTGTTAAGATCTAAGAAGTGGGCTGGGAAGGTGGCTCAGTGGTAGGGTGCTTGCCTTGCATGCATGAGGCCCTGGGTTCGATTCCTTAGCACCACGTAAGCAGAAAAAGCTGGAAGTGGCACTGTGGCTCAAGTGGTAGAGCGCTAGCCTTGAGTTGAAGAGCTCAGGGACAGTGCCCAGGCCCAGAGTTCAGGCTCCATGACCGAAAAAAAACAAAAAAAGATCTAAGAAGTCCAATCTGACACCAAGACCTCAGTAAAGTACTAACATGGAATAATTGCTTCTATTATTGCATAAAGAGGTACTTTATCATTCTTCATTCTCTCTATGTTCCCATGCATTGATATTTTGCTCAGTCTCTCTCTCTCTCTCTCTTTGTAGATGCAAATGTATGTGGCCTACTGATGCTTTGTTGAGAATTGACATAGCACAGTGTCAAATCAACCCATAGACTTTCAGTGCCAGTTGTGCCATTATTTTGAGAGTTCCCAGTTAGAGTCCATATCCTGCCATGGTTTGTGGTGATCCAACCATGTTTACCTTGACATAAAATTCTCACCAGAGAAACAGTGCTGTCTGTTCACTAATTACCCCTCTCCTATCCACTCTGTGAGTGACTACCTCCTCATGTTTGTAGATTTGTGGAACACAGTCTCTTAAGAATAGAAGTTTCCATATTCTATATAAATAACATATTCGGCACTGATTGGAAAAAGAAAACATGTGCTGTGTTCTGTACGTCAAGCCAGAGATTACTTTGTCGCTTACAGTTCTTTTAAAGAATGCGGGAACATAGTTTGATACAGAACATACAATGGGTTTCATTCTGGTTCTAGCTAATTAGCTATCAAAAAGGGAAATTCATATTGTTGCTGTTGGTTACACTCCAAACATGGCCAGCTGTTTCAAAAAAAGTCATCACTCTGCCACTATTCTCCTTCAAGCAACCTCTTTTTCTTATTAAGGATTTCAGCAACTTCCTACTGCATCCTTCTATTTCCAGGCTTGGGCTCTCAATTTACTTAGCACATTGGAACCTGAGAGATCATTCTGCAGTGTGTGAATCCTTTGCTGACACTTCATGTCCTTCCAAACAAAGTCAAAAGGTACCAGTGTGGTTCTGGTCCTTGTCTATATTAATTACATCCTTCTCCTACATGCTCAAGTCCCCATCCTATGTTCCAGCCATGATGACATTTTTCATTTACAAGAAATGGCTATATTCTCATTTGTTTCATAGCATTATTTCATACTACTCCCTTCTCAGGATACTTAACCATTCATCAGCACTTTTCTGCCATTTTAGGAATCACTCACTCTCTTACTCCAAAGGCCAGGTTAACATTGTAACTATCATGGAATGGAACACCTTCACTGTATTACTATTTCCTACTTGGTTTCCGCCCTTCCTTACTTTTGAAGTATAGTTTTGAATTTGATTGTGTATAACATGTAATAGTATTACCAGCCCCCGGGCACAATTACTTTGTAGGATGTTAAAATCTTTTTAGTTGAATAAACAAATAAATGGATAAAAATATTGGGGCTGTTTGCAAAACACAAAAGCAAATATATGAGTATCTCCACTTAGGTTTTCATCACCTTTGTAAAATCTTTTGGTGAAGTCACTGCCAGCTATGAAGGTGGGGTATTATATTTTGAATGATTGGTGTCAGACCATAGGGCTTTATCTCTTTCATATGCATTGCTTTCACATTAGTTTATTTAGAAAGCACATTTATTAGAAAGCACATTTTGTAGCATTTAAAAAAAAGAATTAGAAAGGGCTGGGAAGGTGGTTCAGTGGTAGAGCGCTTGCCTTGCATGCATGAGGCCCTGGGTTCGATTCCCCAGCACCACATAAGCAAAAAGAAAAAGCGGGAAGTGGCACTATGGCTCAAGTGGTAGAGCGCTTGCCTTGTATGCATAAGGACCTGGGTTTGATTCCTCAGCACCATATAAGCAGAAAAAGCCAGAAGTGGTGCTGTGGCTCAAGCAGTAGAGTCCTAGCCTTGAGCTGAAGAGCTGAGGGACAGCGCCCAGGCCCAGAGTTCAGGCCCCACGACCGGAACAAAAAAAAAAAAGAATTAGGAAAGCAAACTTACTTATTATAAACCAGAAATATATACTTTCTTGAAATTTCTCCAAAATTTTTATTATGTAAATTTTTAAAATTAAACATGCTTTAAAAAAATTGTGCAAGCCGGGTGCCAATGGCTCACGCCTATAATCCTAGCTAATCAGGAGGCTGAGATCTGATGATTGTGGTTTGAAGGCAGCCCAGGTAGGAACATCTGTGAGACTCTTATCTTCAATTGACCACTAGAAAACAGGAAGTATCACTGTGGCTCAAAGTGGTAGAGGGGGAAAAAACAGTTGTTTAAGGATACAGGTGGACCTGATGCAACAACGAGAAGTATAAGTTGTCATGTCCAAAACGAGCTTTACAACGTCGGTCGGGGGGGGGGAGGGGGGGGAAGGAGAAGGGTTGGGATTGGGGGGGAGGGGGGAGGCTGGGAAGGGATGTGAAGGGTCAACCAAAGGAGGAGGCTGCAATGCTTGGTAAGAAATGTACGCATTATCCTGCCCTGTAATTGTAACCCCTCTGTACAGTATGTTCACAAATAAAAAAAAAAAGTAGAGAGCTCTAATCTTGAGCAAAAGAGCTCAAGGACAGTACCCAGTCCCTGAGTTTAAGCCCCATGACCGACCAAAAAAAAAAAAAAAGCTCAAGTTGGATGCTGGTGGTTTATGTCTATAATCCTACCTCCAAAGCCTTCTTAGCAGGCTGAGATCTGAAGATCACAATTCAAAGCCAGCCTGGGCAGGAAAAGTCCATGAAGCGTTTACCTTACATTAACTAAAGCTGAAAGTCTTACTGTTGCTCAAGTGGTAGAGAGCTAGCCTTGAATAAAAGGCTAGATAAAACCTCTCTGAGTCAGCACCCAGGCCCAGGTGCACACACAAAAGTTCTTGAGATCAAACCCAGAGTCACACACTTGCAAGGCAAGTTTTCTACCACTGGGCCAATTGTGCCTCAGCCCTAGACATGACATCAGTCTTAGAGTAAAATAAATCTATGTCTATTGCCCAATTGTTATTTTTTCCCAAAGAAAACATGAAGCACAGATGGGAATTTGTGAGCTAATATTTGAAGGTATCTTTGTTAATGTGGCAATGGGCATTGTTTGTATAAGCTAACTAGACATACTTGCCTGGACACTTAGTTTCCCTGCTGAAGAATACAATAGATTATCCTGGACTCTACACATTTACACACTGAGACCAAACGAGGACATTCTTAGGAGAGGATCACAAAGACTCAATAATTATGTGCACGTGATTATATAAAATGATTTCTATCAAAATGAACTCTAAGAAATAGAAACAAGAAGTTTTTTGTTATTTTACTTTTTGTTTTGTTTTGTTGTATCTTTTTCCCCCTTTGGTCACTGTTTTTTTTTATTTCTGTACTTTTTGTCTTGTTTGTAAGTTTATCTCAGTACTACATTAAAGCAAGAAAACAAACAAAAACAAAATGACAGTAAATATTTTGAAAACTCAATGTAAAACAAAAAGGGCTCTATAATGACTTTTAAGTTAAAATGGCTTACTGAGTGATGACAATGAACTATTTCATTTTTTGCACTAGTGCCAAGTTTCTCAGATTTAGGGCCTTAGCTTTCTATTTCCCATTGTATAAAATGGGAATGCTTTATTTTACTAACTTTCTATGAGTCACATCTTTGTACTCCACAAAGTGAGAAAATTTTCAAAAATATATGTTAAATGATATCCCTGAATTACTCCATGGTGAAGAATCAAATGTCCAGACCAGGTTTTAAGTACTTGGTCTATGGGAGAAATACACGATTCTGTCAAATGTAATTTAAGATAGAAAGTTTCTTATTTATATATACATTTCTTGTTTATAACATACAGTAGTGTATTAAAATGGAAAGTAGTATAATTGTTGCTAAGACAAGACCTACGTAGCTCTACTTTTAGTTGATTTTCACTGGCTTTTCTATCGAGGACACTCTTGAATGAAGCCATCTAATGGATTAGATTGTTGTCCTGGAGCCAGGTATGGTGGAACAGTTATTTGGGAAGCAGAGACAAGAATACAAACAGTTTAAAGGACAGTATAAGCAAAAATTAGTAAGAGCCTATCTCAAAACTCTCTCTCTCTCTCTCACACACACACACACACATTCATGAAAATGTGAGAAGCATAGCTCTCAAGTGGTAGATGCCTAGATGTGAGGTCTTGTGTTTTAGCACCGGTAACACAGAGCACATTCACATAAGCACGCACACATACATACAAACACACTGTTCTCTAGGGAATGTTTTCTCTCCTTTTCCTTTAGAGGAAAATTACTATCCTCAGTTTTATGTGAACCACTAGGAACCAATAGCCATTTGTTATGTTATCTCTTTTCCAGGGAAAAGACACTCTTTCTGTCCTAAATATTAACTGTTGATTTAATAATTCCTAGGAAAACCAACTCTAGGATAGGAGTTACAAAGTTTCTAATCAGTAACTTTTCCTTAGATATACAGAACCTAGACTATCCAGTAAGCTAAGAAAACAGCAGTCCTTGTGTGCATCAGAAAAACAGACTGGACTGCATGAAACTATCTCATAACTTTTTACATAACCTGTGGGTCTACAACCATAAAAGAAGATGATTTTTATTGATGATGGTCTATCTTAAGAAAATAGTTAAGCCGGGCACCCATGACTCACACCCAGGAGTCACTACTCAGGAGGCTGAGATCTGAGGATAGCAGTTCGAAGCCATGTCAGGCAGGGAAATCCATGAGACTTGTACCTCCAAAAAAAGTTGGAAAAAGTTGGAAGTGGTACTATGAAGAGGAGGAGGAGGAGGAGGAGGAAAGTTAAATCCTTTTATTTTTGCTTACCAGATCAAATGTTTTCCTTCCCCAGCAACTTGTCCTCAAATTACTAACCTTTGTTAGTGCCCTTTGTGAGCAACAAATGTAGATTCAAGATTTTCATGATTGCACAGTGTTAAAATTCTTCAGTTAAAATCACATTAGTCTAGCAAAATGAAAGTTATTACCAGGTGCTGCTGGCTTACACCTGTACTCCTAGCTACTCAAAAGACTGACATCTGAGGATGACAGTTTGAAACAGCCGGAGCATGAAACTCTTACCTCAAACCATGGAAAAGCCAGAAATAGAGGTGTGGTTCAAGTGTCAGAGCACCAGCCTTGAGCAAAAGAGCTAATGGTTCAAGTCCTGAGTTCAAACCCCAGAACTAGCATAAACACACACACACACAAATGCAACTTATCCATTCTTAGGAATGATCGGTGTTTAAACATAATGGCTATTAAGTGTAATAGAAGTTTAGAATCAAAGAATAGAATCCTAATATTATAAAATAATGTCTAATATATAATATAAATATCTTTGACATTACATGTTATATATATTATGTTATGCATAATATAACAACTATATACAATATCATGTTATATAATATATTATTTTCTAATATTAATATCTTGTAGATTTCTATATTTCACCAACTAGCATTACTTTCCAGTGTATAAGTGAAAAGAAATATATACACTCTTTTCTTGAACACTTCTCAGTTGGGAGAAGTCCGGTCAGTATTCTGGGCTTTAAATATTACAGACATGGTCCTGGGAACTGAAGCATCCAATGCCTGATACAGAGTCAGTGAGCTGTTCTGGTGCTTTTTTTAGTATCAGCAAGTTGATTTTATCTTTGCTTTGATACATTGTATTGGGGGAAGAAACCCTATTATTCTTTGTCAGACAAAACACTGATTCTTGACAAACCAAATGAATCTGGACTTACAGAATTATTTCTAGACTCAATCTAGAATCCCTGCCATTTTCTATATTTTTAGAAGTTGCCAAATTAAGGACTGCTTTAGTGAGGAATGGCTCTGAGCATTCTGCTGTATGGAACTTTTCTAACTGCCAGCAAATACAGTTGGAAATGCTGAAACCTTCAGTGTTTTAGCTGTCCCTGCTATCAGTTAACTAACATCAATTCTTTGAGGTCTCCAAAGCATATTCACTCCTAAGTCAAGGCAGTCTTTTGGTTCTATATTACATTTTCTGCTTTCTTGTATATTCTCATGATCTTTTTATGATTTCAGATAGAACAGATATTTTCATTGCAATTTTAGATACAGAAGTGGACACAAAAGTATGGAGCAATACTTGGGTCCTTAGTGACTCAGTGGTGTTACAAGAATTAGGTTCTCCATCAGTACAATTTAACCTCTTAATTTACTACAGTCATTAAAATAACAAGAAGACCATTTAATGTTCCATTTCTGGTTTCACAGAGTTCAGGCTTTTAAATTCCTGGCAAATTAACACATTATTGGAAATTAGGTACAACCCAACACAGCAGAATGGCTACTGTTTCACAACCTGCATTCCTGGGCCTTCCCACCTAAGAAGGTAGATTAAGCTTTTGACAGTTCCTTCTTTCTACTTGGGAGAGGTCTATAGCTTAATTAATTCCCTAAGTCGCTGACTCTCAATCACATCAGGAAACTTCTGCTCCTTTCCCTATCTCAGATTTTCACTTCCAGATGAGGATTTCCGCTTCAAGAATCAGCTAGTCTTACCAGGGCAAGGCATCCTATCTCATATGTGATACAGATTACTTGCTCTGACTCTCTTCTATGACTCTTTTTTTTGGGGGGGGGTCTGGTCGTGGGGCCTGAACTCTGGGCCTGGGCACTGTCCCTCAGCTCTTCAGCTCAAGGCTAGCGCTCTACCACTTGAGCCACAGCGCCACTTCCAGCTTTTTTCTTTTTGCTTATGTGATGCTGAGGAATCGAACCCAGGGCCTCTGGCATGCAAGGTAAGCACTTTACCACTGAGCCAGCTTCCCAGCCCCTCTTCTATGACTCTTAACCCTGGTAGCCAATGGATTTTTTCCCTACAAAATATGGATTTTCCCTACAAATTCCATATTCGTCTGTTGAAAGTAAGTGCTATGGAAATCTATTACTATACAAGAAGAAACAGGTATCTGCATATCTGGACTTCTCAAAGTCTTGAATATCTTAACACAAACAATGAATTTCTAAGAGACAAATGTACAATTTTTTACCAGTCCTGGAGTTTGAACTCAGGACCTGGGTGCTGTCCCTGAGCTCTTTTTGCTCAAAGCTAGCATTCTACTATTTTGAGCCACAGCTCCACTTCCCAACTTCCCTGGAATATAGTAATGAGATATAGAAGATAGGCCTTGATAAGTGTTGTTTCTCTCAAATTCAAGGAAATGATGGCAGTGTAAATAGCAGAAAGTGAACAAAAAGGGGAAATGCAAAAGATATAGAAATGTGTCCAGTAAAGTTTTTCCCCCTGTTTTGTGATTTTTTTAATTTAGTTTTTCACATTAGTCCTAGGGCTTGAACTCAGGACCTGAGTACTGTTCCTGAGCTTTGTGCTCAAGGCTAGTGCTCTACCACTTGAGCCACACCTCTACTTCTGTCTTTTTGATGATTAGAGATAAAAGTTTCACAGACTTTTCTACTAGGGCTAGTTTCTAACCCCAATCCTTAGATCTCAGTTTCCTGAATAACTAGGATTATAAGCATGAGGCACTGGCACCTGGGTTTTTAGTGATTTTGATAGCATTATTTATCAGATGGTTTAATGGCACCAAAGTTGGTTTATAATCATTTCTCCAATTGCTTATAGGATGAAAGTCATTAAAAACCTTATAAGATCACCATATATAGACACATCCATGCTTTTTTTTATTGTAAAAATGCTGTACAGAAAGAGGGGTTACAGTTACATGAAAAGGGTAATGAATACATTTCCTATGGAACATTGTTGCCTCCTCCTTTGTTTTCCCCCTACCATCCCTTCCCTATGCTTTTAAAAGACAACAGATAAGTTTGTGCTTTTGGAAGCTCCTATCTAGAATCACAGTTATTGCTTTACCCTTGGTATTTTCACTAGCTTAGTCATATAGGCAGGGGCTGCTCAGATTAACCCTCTGTTTGCTGTAAAGTTTTGCTTTTATTTTGGGGTGATTACCAATCAATTTCTTCTAGGAAAACTACTTGATGACTACATTCAGACATCCTTTCATCAGAGAATGATTTAAAAAAAAACCCTTGAAATGCCATATATTGAAATTGAATTCTCTTACCTATGAATTCTAACTGACTTGAAGTGGAAATGACAAATGAGTTTATGTTTATACAAAACATCAACTAAATAGGGAAGTTCATGTCACATAGAAAGGAAGCGACTTACTATTAGCTTGTACTGATGAGACATTTATCGGCAGGGCTCTTGTTTTTCTAGTCTTCTGATTTAAGATGTGGTGGATTTTCTTCTCTCTTTTTGTCTTAGGCACAGTAGAGGGGATCTGGTATGCTGTAACAGTATCTGCCTTCACCTCGTCTTCTGGGCTATGACAAATACAACAGAAAGGTGCATGTTCAAAAGATGCATCTGGTACTGTCCTATGATCTTTCCAGTATCTTCCTTCTTGATTTATGCCTCAATTGCTGACTGCCAAAGTTTAGTGCTTTCATATTTACACCCTTCTTCTGTATGTCATCCTTGATATATTTTTGACCTGAGGCTATTTCATAGGTTCCTTCTTCCAGCTTTTATTATGTTTTAAGTATGTTTCCCTTATTCTTTTGAAGGCTGGTTACAGCAGTTGGGTAACTTGCAGTCATAAAAAGTCATCATCCAAATAAAGAGCTTGGAGGACTGGAAGAAAGCTTCCTGTTCTCTTGGGACAGTGAATCATAATCTGATATCTGAATCATTGCTACAGCATTTATAAGAAGCGGTCCTCTAACCCTAGTGCAGTCATTAAAATGATGGGACATTTGCTTCCTTAAAAGGCTGGTTGCTCTTTGATCAGCTCTGATCTTGAGACTTGGTTTATTTCAAATTGAAATACTGTTCCCTTTGTTTTCCATTCCACAAAGCTTAGGACTAGTAGATAGTTACAACATACCTAAAAGTATCAATTCCTTCTTTGCTATACTTGAAGGTATGGTCTTTTATTCCTATTCAAGCTATGTAGCAGTTTCTTCAAGTTTGTATCTGTATAGGTTCAATCCTGCCATGCATGGAACTTATTTTTAATAGATCCTTAAATTAGGAAAATAAAACAATTTCAGGACTTTTTAAAAGTTGAAAATAATATATATTAATCTGTCATATTTTCTAATTTTGCTACAAAGTATCTAAACAGTAAAAAAAAAATTATAGGCCTATTTTCCCCGAATCTTTGGCTAAAAAAGTAGTGTTATATAGATTCCAAGACATTTTATGTATTGTGTTCCCTTCAGGTGTTGGGATAGGTCCAAGTAAATTTCTATCTTAAATAAAAGAAATTGACACTGATCATCAGATAGAATTTCTCTAGAATCACACAAAATAAATTACATATTAATAATGGTTATAAATGTGAAGGATTTCATGAAACTATAAGAATGTTTCTAGGATGCCATGACAAATCAGAATTTGATAAAAAAAAAGATGGCATGAAATTTAGAAAGTTCTAGTGTTTGTATGCTTTTCAGCTTCTAAATTATCCAATTCATACTATAACAGTCTCACGAAAGTCATCAGTTACCAGAAATGTATAAGAATTTGGAATAAGTAAACCAATAAGACATTAGTATATTGGTAACAAAGTCTATTGGTGATTATTTCTTTTAAATAAATCCACAGATGAATATAACCTCTTTCTTTTCCTTTAAGAAAATTAATCATACATATTCATGGATTTGTGTCTGAATGTTCAGCTATGTAATTTTCAAAGTAAGACGAATGAAACCTCTGAGCACTTTCTGCAACTGATTTGAGCCTTCTTCCATCCCAATAACAACAAATACAATAGAAACATCTTTTTGTTTGGGCATGTCTCTTGTGACTAGGGATTTTTTTACTGGTAAAGTTTCGTAGTCAACTCTGTCTTCTTAATGCTTTCAAAGTAACACATCTGTCAAAAGCATAGTGCTTAGTGCATGCAGTGACTGGCAGCTGGGTTTTCCCAAGGCTATGGGCTTTGGGTAGATTTTAGACCTAATAACCAGTTGATAAACTTCGAATCTTGCTTCTGCTATTTGGGATAACTGTCTCCTGGGGAAATATAAGTACATCACTTCCTCTTCCACACCACCCAAAATCTTACTTTTCTATTACAAAATAGTGACTAGCTCTGTATTACAGATATAGACCGAGACATAGTATCTATGAGCATCCTAGTAAGGGCTGAATCATAGAGACACACAATATATGAAGGATCCTGAATCTTTTGCCCTTTGACCCTCTAGGCTGTGATTATACTTTAGCCCCAACATACGTACATCAGCCTGACTACTTGATTCTTGATGTAGTGCTTGTTCAAAGTGGAAACTATGAATATCTTGTCCACCTGTTATTTCAAGAGAGAAACAGTATGTTAATGAGATATTTTGTAATAAAGCTATACTCTGGATTTTAAAATATGGGAATAATAGCATTTTTGTTTTAATAAATGATTCTCAATTTTCACAGCATGACAGAATTATTGGCTGAATTTAAAAAATAACAGATATTGGGGCTCCTCTCTCAAAATTTCAATTGGACTTATAGTGAGTTGGCTGCTCATGTTTTTAAGGTACCTCTCCAAATGATTCTAGCTTCTAGTGTAAGTGTCTGGAGTAGAAGATACTCTAAAACTTATAGAGTGAATAATAGAAAGATACAGAACAGAGATAAGAGAGGGAATGAGGCTTTAAAATTTTTTACTTTTAAAATGATCTTTAAGTAGTTGTACAAAGATGTTAGTATTTATCAAAGCAGTTTATGAACATAAAGCATCTTGCTCAATGTCACCATGTTCAACATTCTCACCCATCCCTCCCAACCCACCCCTTCCCTCACTCTGCTTAATTTTGTAGGAGGTGTAATTTATTCTTGGCTTCACTCTCCCCTTCTTCTCCTCTTCTGGAATGAAGCTTTGAGAAGTGATGGAGAGAAACAGAGTTTGTTTCTGCTGTCATGAACTGGCCAACTTTGGAGAATACACTAAATCAAGTAAAGCCTCATATTTTACTCATAGGGCTAGGAGGATTAAATACATAGAAAGTACTGGGAATGTTTGGGCTGGTAATTGTTGGTGGTCCTCTAGCCACCATGTTGGCATTGTAGGTCTTAGCCATTTCTGCAGGTCTTTGGTTCTCAGATATAATGAAAATGAAGGAACATTCAGCATTTAAGTGAGAGCCAATAGTACTTAAATTGATGATTGTGGAAGAAAGAATGATTAAAGTAGTATTTAAACACTAAGTCAAAATTGTATTACTTAGTCTGTGCCACTGAGGAAGAAGAAGGAAAGGGGATTGTTTTGTGTCAATATACACAGCTGTGCTTGCCTGCTACAGCATGGTACTGTGGTGAATTTGGTTTAGTCTTCCCAAGTAACCACTTGGTGGCCATCATTCAAGTAGATGAACCAAATGTTTGTATGTTGGGGGTGAGGGGTGGGGAGGGAAATGTCTGAAGAAAAAGCTAAGGAACTGAACTCTTTTTTGAAAACCACAAAAATAAAAAGGAAAGCTCTTTCAGGGATCAAAAGGCAAGCCATGACTTCTTTAGCACTACCAGGAAGCCATAGATGCTTCATTTGGAGCCATATAATCCAAAATCATTTTCTCCCTGACCTTTACAATTCCCTATGGAAAAAAAATATTATTTTGATTCTTGTTTTTACTAAAAAAGAAAACTGTGACCCAAAGATACTATGTGAATTTTCCCCTTGGCTTCATGTAGTTAATGATAAACTGGGACTTAAATCTAGATTTTGTATCTATGGGATCCATATTTGTCCATGCAATAAGATAGTTTCCTTGTTAAATATGATGCACATTTTACTTCAGTTTATTTCCCTTAGAGCACATTCCTATAGGTTTTCAAGTAAATAGTTAACTAACCTAAAGATAATTCCGTTGAATACTTTTAAAGGGACATATTTGGTACTACTTTTAGATACAAGATCAAAGGAAACACTTAAATATTGATGAATCGTTACTATCACAAATATGCCTTTATCCATAAGGAAATCCTAAATTTGGTGGTTGGGGATTCTATGAAAGAAACCAAACTATTTTGTAAGGTGTGCTTTTCTGAGAATGACATTGTTCTAGTCATTTCTTGTGACAACTAGTTCTATTACTCAGTACCTGGCAAGGAAGTTCCCAAAGAAAATAAAAGGCAAACTAAAAGGAAGTGGGAAATGTGATGAATTTTAAAAGGAAGGAAAGTCAATAGCAGTTGGATATTTCAGTAACTTTGGTTTGTCATCATCCTTTGAATCAGTTCCACCCATCATTGATTCTTGGTCATTTGGAACTAGGTGAAGGCACTGGATCAGGTTTTGGACTCTGGATGATACACTCTATCTGGCAGTGTGCCCACTGAAAATGGCCAGCCCTAGCCTTAATTCGATCTTTGAATTATTACATTTGTTGGGAAAATAGGAGCTAAAAGAATACCGTAAGTCTAGGTAGAAGAAACTTAGGTGATGCCAATAATACAAAGTTTCTTTTTTATTATTCAGATTATAATACCCTATGTTTAGAAAGTCTCAAGAATCAAGTCAGGAGTGAGGTCCCGGGATCTTCTGGAGCTATAGGCTGCTGGACATTTTGAGAAAAGTGGCACAAGGTTTGGTAAAAAAATACTACTGAATTTATGATGGGAAACCTGAGAAAACATGAGTATAAATGTAATGGCTGAAAGGAGTTTATCCAGAAATGAGCTTTCCAGAAACCTTGAAATTTTGTCTCTCTGAGAGATTTAAGACTTGCATCAATACAAATTTTTTTTAGGACAAAATTAGGGTCTTCCAATTGCCCCACAGTTTTGGAAGACAGTTCTTCATTTCAAACCTACACACATTTTTCTGTCAGTGTATTATTATTATTATTTATACAACTTGGTAGAATTAGTGATTTACAAATCCCTGTAGTCTCTTTCTTCCAGGGGAATTTGTAGAGTTTTATAATTGGAGTTATTCTTAACATGAAACAAAAGACCCCCTCTTTCTGCTAGATGGTATTGGAACGTTGGAAATTGTGTTAGGATTAAGGTCTCTGGGCAACTGAAGGTTAGTTTGGTGTTTAATGAAAGAGTTAGGGAGAGGTTGACAACTCAAACAAACAGATACGCCCAGACATTCATCTTTCATTCCTTAACTAGCTGTTCTTACATGTCACCACCTTTCACTGTCAGCTGCTTCTGTTACAGCAATCTCTGTCTTTCCATAAGGGTTGCTTTGGTCTCAGACATCAAAATTCAGATGCCTATGCCATGAAGACTGGAAAATGGAATTAGCAATCTCTTGGTTCCAATATGATACCAGATAAGCTTTTAAGAACTCAAGAAACTAAAGGTGTACCATGGAAAAGTTTTGGATATCATTTATTTATATAGATATAATTTATATAGAGATATTTATATAGATATAATTTATCTATTTATATATATATTATATAGATATAATTTATATCACATGAAAGCTGGCATAAGAGGTCCTTTTATTTTAAAGACCACCTTAATCTGAAGTGAGTCTTAATTGAATTTACAGTTCCAATAAGGAATGAATTCAAGATAGACATAGAAAATAGAGTGCAATTGCATTTGAAACTGTGTTCACATCATTGTTAGCCTTCTGAGGTTCTTACCATCTGTCCACAGCATGCCTGTTCCATGTTCTCACCCTCAGTATTTTGCAAGTATTTTCCTGTGAACTTCACCTTTGGCCTCGAGCACCTGCTTCTTTGTGGCTAGCTTTGCTTTTCTGAATCACAATTATCTATCTCTCAAGATCTATCTCAGATAATACCTCCGTTGGCATTTCCTTCATCCTCAGACCAATCATTCTTCCTTCCACCTCAGGTTTTTTTTTATCCCTTTTACATCTTCTTCTAGTTTACATAGTTATTTGTGTAAATATGTGATTTCCTTTACTAAAGTGCTAAGCATTTTGCATAGACTGAGTTATGTTGTCACATTCTGCAGTGATTTTTGTATCATAACTGCAAAATGAGTTGGCTGAATTAGTGTACAAATAAAAGGAAATTAAAAATTAATATAGCAGAAAGCCTTGCATTTACTAGTTAACATTATGAAGGTTTCGAATGTACTTTATACATCTGAATGAGATAAGCATTCCTAGAAAAAAATACACATGAATTATTTGAAGACATATATTTTTTCTCCTCATGGACACCTTTTGTGTCAGTTGTTTCTTTGTAGAAAACCCGTTTATTATGAGACTATAGACTTTATAAAATCAGGAATAATAATCACTGATTTCTTCCTTAGTACCAAGTACTAAGTCTCTTATATTTCAGGCCAGTTGCTTTCCACGTCAGCATCTAAAGTGAATACTGTTATTATCTGCATTATATGGATGAGGAAGTGACTTGCCCAAGTTGACATTTCAGTGAGCCATAGAACCAGAATTTAGCCAAGGCCATCCAGACTCAGAGTCTGTTAATGTTCTCACAGTGCTGACCACAGGCAAATACATAAGCAGCAGTGAGTGGTCCCTAAGTGGACCAGCAACTGAAGGAGTATAATCTTGACAATTTTTACTGTCATACATTATTGTCTTCATTTAACATGTCAGTGTTGTTTGTTTTTCAAATTGAAGGTGGCAGCTGTAAATCTCTCCAGCCTAGCTGGTATATGGTCAGGCTGAGCATTAAGGGATGCTGCCCAAGATTTTGGGGTTCATTAACTTCTGAGAATCAGGTCTCTCTCCCACAGCTTTGAGCCAGTGCTTCATCTAGAGTTGGAGAAAATGCCATCAGAGGTCCGTGGGTATGGGTGGAGTATCATGGAAGTGTGGCTTTCTTGTTGCTCTAAACTAGAAGATAATGAGGTCACTAATGGGGTGTCATTCTGTGATGTTATCAGTCATTTCTTTGATTGCATCAGTGTGACTTCAATATCTCTTTGTGGAATGTCAGAAGGAAACAGATAGACATCAAGGGCCAAGTAATTGCACACAGTCAGTTGCAATACACTAGAAAACAATACCCCAAATTAAAGATTATAAATGATAAAGTATTAATGTTTTACTGTGTCACAGAACATGTCTGCAAATAAACCTAATTTGGGTTTATTTAAAAATTGAACAAAGTGGAATCAAAACTAGAATATCTAAAGCAAAGAAAAGTGGTTATTAGAAGTCTCATGTATTTTGAAATTTTCATTATTCTATTAGAGAAAAGAGGGTGAGGAGGGGAGTAGATAAGTAGATAGATAGATCAATAGAGATTGAGCATCATTTCACTTAGCCTCTGTTGTAATGCCTAATGAGATGCTGAATTTACCGAGTGGTATATGACATTCTAGGTAATGTGGCATAATGAAGTCTGTGTT